AAAATGTGTCACTTGTGTTGCACTAGTGGAAATTCAAGATTTTTTTTATATATTTCCTTGTAGAATTAAGAACTTAAAACTTGAATACTATTAAAATATGGATTATTAGCAAATTTTTTATGCTATTCTAATTGGTAAAACATAAACAAAAAGTAGTTTAATAACATTTTGAATGTAAGACACTAAAACCTTGTGTCATGTGCAGTAAAGGGTACCTGGGGAGAGGGGGTTAAATAAAAGTTTTTTTTAATACAGTTTGACTTCATAGTCTGCTGAAATAAGCATTTTAATATAATTAGTTTTAACACTTTTGCTATGGGTATCTTTTCCTGCACATGTCATGAGGCTTTAATGAGTTACATTCAAAATTGAATTAAACTACTTTCTTGTCATGGTATATGAATAAATGTAGCATGTAAATGTAGCTAATAATCCATATTTTATTAGTATATAAATTTTAAGTTAATACTTTTATAAGGCAATATTTTATAAAATCTAGAATTTTCTCTAGTGTAAGAATTGTGGCATTTGCTCTCGAGGCATCCTCTCTTCTCTAATTTATTTACCATTCCTGCAAGAAGTACAAAATTTAATGTAAATTAGTTATTATAATATCGTCATCGCTTAGGCAATGCATAATTATTATAGCTTTCAACCATATTGGTTACAGAGCCATGAAATAGAAAATCATATCCCTCCTGCAACACCCACCTGTCACACACATCCTCTCTTTCAGAAACTGCCAATAGTTCTCTCTGATGTTCAATACTATAGTATTTGTAACCAATAGAAAACCAAGGCTTTTATCTGTCAAACGACATGTCGTATTACATTGTTTTCTGCAAAGAAAATTGTTATATTCATTTTCAGTTCAAGCTTGATTCCCATGGGAAACACATCAACAAGCTTAGATGAAGTTTTAACGGCTCTTTTTGCATAGCTAGAGAGTTAGAAAAATTGTGAAAGCTATGAGACATTGTCTGTTTTTGCATGTTATTATTTTGTGTTCTTTGGTGCATTATTTAATTAAATAAGAAAATTTAGTACAGTACTACCATTAGTATTAAAAGAAAAAGAAGACAAAGGTAACTACTTTTTTCTGGTTTTTCATGTGTATTCTTTATTTATTATTCTAAAAGCAACTAAAATGTAAAAATAGGAAACATTTTAAGTTAGTTAAGGATAGATTAATTAAAAGAAAAAATTATAAAAAATGTCACACGAGAAGCGGTAGAGTAGCTCGTGCATAATGTAATTTGATAGCATAATGTGAGCTGTATGTTTGCCAAATGATTTACAACTTATAATGGCACGAATTGTAGTTAGACCGGTTCAAAGGACAATAAAACAATCAAATTTAAGTATATATAGATGTATACTATTATGAGTGTAAAGCTATATAGGAATATCAAATGTAGTTTCATATTACAATGTGAAATCATTCTATAAAGAAAGAAATGGTAATTAGATTTTTTTCAGTTGTTACAAAGTCAGTCAAATTGACCAACCTTGTATAAAGTTAGGGTAGAGAAAATAACAGATAAGATATAAAGTTTTACTGGAAAAAACATATGACATTTATTTAGGAGGTTTTAGAGATTATGCAGATAAAATTGAAGGTTTTTGAGACAGAAAAGTATTTATAATCTTAAAGTGGAAATCACTTTGACTCCATATATTCATGGAAAAATACTTGATGAAAAATTCTGATTTTTTTTGTCTAGAAATGACTTAATGATTATTGAGAGCTTGTAAAACAAAATTTTGTGAAGATACACGAAACATTGAAGTTCTAGTATGGAAACTATATAGGTCAATTTGGGGTAATGAAAAGAGTTAACTATTCCCGGAAAAGCACAGAATTTTATAAATTAGTTATGTTTATTATATTTTTTCATTAGTATATTTAAAATGTTAGTCAAGTTATTAGTTTAAATCAGATTAGACATGTACAGTTAGCCTGAATGATCATTTTTACTTACAGATATGGCATGAGTCGACTAGATTATCATCTTATTCATGACCCCAATCTGTCATTCAAAGATGTTCTAAGAACAGTGCATCAGGGAAAGGCTTTCAGTAACAGTAGTCAAATACCAACACCATCTGGTAATATTTAATATTGTATAATGTCATGTATTTTGATAACTAGGTAACAACTTGTACCATGACCAGCACAGAGCACAGTTCTTCCTTGTGAAATTAAAATGTATTATTAACAATTTAGTTTTTTTGTGAAGTAATAGTTATAGCCTAGCTAATGTTTTGCTCTAAAATAACAGTTGTCCAGTCATCTAGAAAACTAAGCTCAGTTTTGCTTTAAATTCTAATATGGTTTGGTATTTAGTTGTTTTTCTTATTGGCTACTGTCTTATTTCTTTCTGTCAAAAAGATTAAGCATAGATATATAAAAAAGCACATTCTAGTTACTTATATGAAATTTTACCCATGTTCAAAACTATTGCGAGCTCTACCATATATTTAGATATTTCAGCTTAACCAGAAGTTCTAACTTTGCAGAAGGGACCAGCCCTGAAGAGTTGAAAATTAAAGAGGAGACTCAAGTAAAAGAAGAGAAAGCCACCCCTTCAAAAGATGTAAAGTCTGAAGATGAGTTGAAGAGTCAACCTAAAAGAGAGAATTCTGAGGAATTATCCACTAAGGAAGAAAGTGAAGCCGGAGATGTAAAAAGAGAAATATCCAGTGATGATATAAAAGAAGAAGAGAACAAAATTGAGTATGTTGTAAATAAGTCGGAAGTAAACGAACAAGATGAACAGATAATAACAACTAAAAGAAAGAAAGAAAGTCAGGAAATTATGTCAGAAGAAATTAATATAACCAGTGAAGACAAAGATATTCTTAAAGACCATTCCCCTAAAGAAGAAGCTACTGCATTAATAGATAAAAACAAAACTGTAGAGAAAGAAAACAAGGAAGTAGCAGAAGAAAGTGAAACACCTTCATCCAAAGGTGATGTTGAATCTATTGAAACGTGTCTTGAGAGAGAAAGTACAACAGAAATTCCAGGTGAAGAAAATTCTAACATACCTTCCTCTTCTTCCCAGGCAGTGGAAGATAAAAACCTAGAAGGGGAGACAAACACATGTTTCTTGAAGTCTGATACTCCTTCTCATTTAGAAGAGTTTCAGGTATTTCCATTAATAAGTGACCTTAAATTGATATGCATAATTTTTGCAGTTATTTGCTTGGTTATTCAAGTGTGCTTGGAGTCGGTACTTATACTATCATAAGAAGAATAATATTATTAAGGGGAATATGTTTATTCTGGTTTTAAAAACTAAATTAGTTTTAAAAATCTGTCACAAGAATGAGGCAGATATTCATACTCCAAGTACTTTAATAATTGATAGTTTTAGAACCATAGATTTACCAAATTCATCTAAATAATATAGCGTGGAAATTATCTTGCCTTTTTATTATCTGGTTTTCATGTGTAAGTATTGTAAACCCTTTGACTACGACCTAATTACACTGTAAGTATGTATGCAACTCTTGTGAAAGTTCTTTTCAAGAGTGAAACTAGTGGATGAAATTCTTTTAAGTTTGAGATTAAAGGTCCTATAAGTATGTAGTTTTTGAAAAATAAGATTTTAAATTTTGATTTTTTTTCTAAAGCAATGATTTTCTCATGCCTTTTTTCCTTTTTGTATGTTCCCCATCAAAAATGCAAAGTAATTTTCATTTTAAGATTAAAAATCCTTTTATGCATCAGAAAATTTTCCAATTTCACATGCAAAATCCTTATAATGTCCAGACAGTTATCAAACGTTTCTTAAGTAAAAATTATATTTTATCTGTTATTTTAACTAAGGAATATCTGTAAGGATTTGATCAATTTGACCGATCTCATAACCACTATAAGAAAAAAGAAATAAATATAAATTATGCCTTTTTCGTTCTAGAATGACTACAAATTATAAAGCGAAAACACAAATGTTTAGACTAAACATCTTAAATCTCATAACAATATACATTTATATATATAAATTATTTTTATTGTAGTGACCTTTCAGCTGTGCCTGGCTAACAATACAGAAGTTACAATGATGTGGTGCACGTGCACTTATGTTACGGTATCCAATGATATAAAACTGACCTTTAGTCTCTACAAAATGTATTTTGTAAAATACAGTCACACTTTATTTATTGTACATTAGATACATATATAGATTATTACTATTTATAAATAACTTCTTTGAATTATTTTTCTTAAAACATAGAACAGTAAATAAAGAAGTAAAGCAAACAATTATCTCTTTTAGTTACAACCTTTGTACTCACTTGCTGCTTGTCGTAGCTTGCTAAGCCTTAAAAAATTTTGCATGTGGAGGTTGTGAAACGAAATAATTTTTTTGTAGGTTTTATATATACATTTGAATAACCAAAAAATCATAAATTACTGTATTGGTACCATAGAATTCCACTATAATTTATCAAGTTTAGTAACTAAGCTGTATTTCAGTCTAAAAAAATATGAAACTTCGAGCAGACTAAAGACACAACCTATTTTCTTGAAATCTTGGTGTGAAAGAATGAGATGGCATCCAAACACATTAAAGTGGCTGAGAAAGCCACTAGGGGAACGTTTTGAGATTTCAATTGGTTATTCACATGTCATATATAGAACTGTATATAAGAGACCATTTCCAAAATGGGAAAGAGGTGAGTGGGGCCACTGTTTCATTCAGTACATAAGCGATATCTCAGCAAATAGAAAAGATAGGAGGTTCTTATTTTATATTCTAGCTTGTCAATATTGGTAATTTGAATTTCTAATTCATACAAAATGGAATAATTTGTATTTTGACATCACAAACATCAAATTTTACTAGTGCTGCAATCAATATACTACGTGACACACAAAAATCGATGTTTATCTGTTGTTTTTTTATATTTGCTCTTAAATTAAGAAATTGATTAATATATAGTACTAACATTTGAATTATAATCTACAGTTTGATACCAAACTTAATGACATGAATTCATAAAATAGTAGTTCAATAAAATTTTGAATGCAAGTCAACAAACGCAATGACATGGCTTTTAACCCATGACCAATGTGGAAAGGGTAAATGTAACTAATGAAGAAGTTTGTTAGACATTCTAAAGAAAGAGTATATGTGTAAAAGTTTAATGTTGTTTTTATACTTAGTATTTTATACTTCTGCCTTTTTTGTGGGGCAAAATTACTTTTTAATCCATGTAATTAGAATAGCTTACTCATGCTTGGGTTCTTTGCTTTAAAGGCTTTTTAAAGTTTTGGTTGAACACAAACAAATGAATTAAGGTTTTGATTTTTTTTGTATCTAGTCTTTTATATTTTTTGAACAGTAACTGTGTAAATCATATATTTACATACATTTGTTTAGTTTAAATGTAACTATTTTGATTATGAAACAAACTTCTTATCTTTAAGATGTTTGAAAGGTAAAGTATATTTGGGATAAAGAAATCACATTATATTTATATTTCTTTGCATAGGATATTTCCCAAAATGATGAGATTATGAGCCAGGATAGTTTCAATTTGGAATTGGATCATAATGAGCCAACTGTGGCTCAATTGCTAGCCCATTCTTCAAGGAATCCTCTACATTGGCCTAAGGTATGTGTCAGTTCTAGTTATATCCAAGAGTGTTGATATATTATTCACAGGAAATTTTTAAAAATGAAATACTACCTTTCTTGTGAGCTGTAATCTCATATTTGTGTGTTTCAATTTTGGTATTGTTGGGAACAAGTTTACTTTTTGTATTTCTCAAGTATAAAATCAATAATTTATAATATTTAGCTAGAATTTACAGCTTTGTTTCTTGTTGGTAGAAAAGTAATTTTTATTTTGCCTATACCAAAACATCTAATTTCATTGTACTTTTTTATATTATTTTATATAATGTTATTTTTTCATTAGTTATTTTCATAACTTCGTCTGTATTGTTTGAAATATTGTATTCTGTTCTTTAAACAGGATAAGGTTCTTCAGATACGAATTGAGCACATATGTCATGCTGTAGAAAAGAATGAATGGCCTATTATAAGGCATACGTTTATGCCAAGCTTCATGATGATGGGAAGCACAGCTGGAGCATCTGTCACACCTTCATCTACACCCACAGTTCCTGGCAGTGTGTCACCAAGGGCTGTGTCCCCTGCACCTAGCTCTGTAAGTCAACTCAGTGATGATGCCTCTGTTCCATCCCAGCATACACCCGATCAGACACCTCTTAAAGAACCAATACTGCAAGACATGCTTATTACTGCCTCAGAATATGGAGTAGGGAGAGGCAGCCCAATTCAGCCTGGGGTAGGTTGCAATTCCTTGTTGTAATTCTTTACTGTTGATGTATGTTATTGATTTTTATTACATTGTAATTGATAGTTTTCAAGAAGAAAACTTTTATTATTTACATTATTTTAAAATCTTATGAAATTAAAATTGGAAAAAGTTTTACAAAACTTCTTGTATTAATTTAAACACAATAAATATTTTTCACAAAAAAACCGAATGGAAGTATGAACCATATTTGAATTGCAGAAATTCAGCATTTGAGACTCAATGTTGTATTTTCGGGTATTGATTTCACTTTTTATGTTTCTTCCTTGATAAAAGTACTATGTTTCATTACCTGTTGCATAATCTGGAAAATATTTTTGGATTGGTTCAATAGAATGAAGCTCTTGGAGGACGTCGTAGGAGGAGACGTAGAAGAAGATTTGAAATAGAAGCTGAAAGAGGTAATTTACACTCCCTTTGGTTGCTGTTAAATGTAATATTAAGGAATTAGGTACTTATTGTTTTAATAGATATAATCATTTTATACCACATGAGCCAATTACATTAGTTTTTATTAGATTTCTTGCCAGTGTTGATGAAATATATAATTAACTCATTTCTGTGCATAACAGTCTCCAAGTTCTCAGAATATAATACGTTACTGAACAAAGGATAGAATGTTTATTTCTGAGACAATAACTCACCTCTTCTCACAAAAATACCATCTTTCTTGTGTGTCTGCAGATGAAATTTACATGTTTCTAGCCTTGAGGTAAATCCCACCTAAATTCACTTGTTTAACATGTGCTGGTGCATGATAACGTCATCATGTGACAACAGCCCTCCACCAATAGGGGTTGAAACAACTTCCATGAGCAGTAACCCCATGTGCACTTACACTCATGGTAACTTCACTCTTTTCCTTGGCATTGCATTGAACAGATGTGTTAAAATTTCTCATTTGTATTGAATTTGATAAGATTTCTTAACAAAACATTTGCTTCAAAAGCATTGATTATTACTCATGGATACATTTGTGGTCACGAGCTGGGTGGACTTCACACAGCCCATAATAGAAAGGTTAACTTTCTAATATTTTTCTTGATTTCATTTTCAGATAAGTTCCTTTCTTCATCTTTTTCCTGTGTCTTTTCACCCTTAACTAATGTGCACTCTTTTAACTCCTTTCTATGCATGTTATAAGGTTTTACTGAGTTACATTCAAAATTTAATTAAACCACTTTACTATCAATGTATTTTAATGAAATTAGCATTATCATGTACGTTATAATTCAAAGTTTTATATTATCTAAGTTTTAATTCCTTTATTTCAAGATAAATCTAAAAAAATACATAAAATTTCAGTTTTGTTATCATTTGATGAATAAGCCCTCAAAAAACCCATAACTTTTGTTTTTATCGCTTGAATAATACTCCATCTGCAGTGTACATGTATATATCTAGACTCAAAACTACATTTACATCACTTGTTTCAAATTCCTTTGGGTCCATTCAGTTAACAAAGAAACAAATGTTGTAACTCCCTGACACTAGCCATGCCCACATTTTATACTAAAAATGTAAATTATAAGCCACCCTCTACTTACTTGAAGTGTAAATTCGATGATGAGGAACCCACTTTGAGACTAATAATGGCTGGAGACGGCTTGAATGGGTAATGAAGAAAAACTTTAATATAAGTTTAACATACCTGATGATGACAAAACCTTGTCGAAACGTTGTACATTTGCTGTTATGTTAAACTTATATTAAAGTTTTTCATCATTACCCATTCAAGCTGTCTCCAGCCATTATTACTTGAGGTGTGTTTATAACCAATTGAAGGAGCTAATTTTAAACTACAATCTGTCAGTGGTTATTGTAAAGCTGGCTCACTAACAAGCACATCAAACTGCTAAATCTATGTTGGAGGTTCATCCCCACTAACACTTAGTTTTTCTCACCTTATATATATTAGTTTGATGAAGTTAAATTGTATTTAGGTTTTACTTTTATAGTTCAGTTAATTATCTATTATTTATGATTTAAAATTCATATTTCAAAGGTTTAATAATTTTTTTGATATATTCCAAATTTAACCTGCTCCACAAGGCTTGAGTTAGTTAGCAAGAGAAAAAACATTTTGCTGGAGGCTAAAGTATTTATGCTAATGTTACCATTATATTGCCCACAGCACCCATTCATGTGTGTTGACATGAATAATAAACAGTAAAGGGCAGAAAAGGAAAATAAAATATTAAGAATAAACTATAATTAAAAAGTAAAGATGTGAAGTTATGCATATAACCTTAAGAATATATTTTAAGAGTATTGATGAATAGTTAAAAGGTATTTATATATTCACATTTCTTAATTTAAACATTTAATTGCACTGTATATTGGTGATAATAGCTGCAATTAATGATATGGTAGACAAAAAATTTTGATGTTCATTTAGGAAGTTCTAGAGGTTATATGAATAATATTTGAAAACAGTAAGATAAAAAAAAATATACTTAACATGAAAATTACCTTGCACTTGAACTCTTCAGTCTGAGTGAAAAAAAAACTACAATAAATGACAAATTTTTAGTAAAAATAGAAAAAAAATCAAAATTAAATAGTTTTCTGAAACTACATATGTTTAGGAAAGTTCATGTCAAATTTTAAACAATTTCATCCATTAGTTTTATTTTTGGAACAAAATTTTACATTAGTTATGTTACATCCTTGCTATTTAACCCGATGACTACCGGCTACTAACTTTCTTAGTAGGCAATGCAAGTCTTGCTATATTTCATTCCAACAATAAAACTAGTGGACGATTATGTTCAAAAGTTCATAAGAACTTTGATAAATGTATGATAGGTAGTTTAAGAAACATAAAGCCTATTACTTTTAATAAATTTAGTTTTTTTGCATTATGATCTTTAATATCTTGGAAACTTACATTAGGAAATGAGTACATGATTATTAAAAAAAATTAAAAATAGATAAAATTTGCATTTTATGGAAGATACAATTTTTTGGGATTTCAAAATAATGTACTAAAACATTAACAGTAATAAGTTCAAATCTGTAGCAAATATGAATATCGTAATAATTTCTTATAAATATCTTTCTTATGGTTTCAAGTAATATACAGACCCGTAAATAATGTTTGTAAATAAACCTAAACAATAAATTTTTATTTTTAACTAGGATTTCATGTTTATGTATGTACATAAAAACATTTTAATTTTGTTTCATAAAAATATTTTTATTTCAAATTTATGTTTATGTTTCATTGCAGTCGTACTTTTGTGTTTATTGTGCCGAATAAACCGTGGGGTCAGCAGCGTGAACTTTGTCCATTGTCCGTAAACTATCTCACCCCTTTTGGTGGTCACTCTCGTTCAACCGAGTGCATGCGCATTTGAACATTACTGTAGATATGATAGTAAGAAAGCTTTTCGGTACTTGAATATCATTTCTTTGAACTTTCAAACAAGTTTATTTCAACATATGTCCGTGTATGTTGTTTCAGAATAGAGACAAAACTAATTGCCACTACTAATGAATGTATGTAACAGTTTATAGTACAGGTGGTTTCAATAAACACCACCTGAGCCTGACCCCTTGTTACCTGATACATCCTGTTAGAAGAGATTACCAAACGATACAGACACTATAAATTACAAAG